GTCAGGATCTATAAATTGATAAAAGAAGATGCTTCATCTTGGTTTTTATGTGCTTTCAGAAATTGTAAGAACACTGCTGCTGAGCTTTTATGGCACATAGATAACATCATGGAAAATTGAAAGTATAAGTTTTGTCGTCAAGAATGATAAATGGCAATATTGGAATGGCATCAATTCCTAACTATTTATTATCTATACTTCAATTGCATTCAATTGTATAACGTTTTAAACTATATTTCCTTTTCTAAATTCTGAAGCACGAGACTCAATTTCTTTTCATCTCTATTTCCCCCTTGAAATTAAGAGTTGGGAACGTCTGTAGAACCAATAGCGATAAAATGAATAATAGTAATCTTTGTAGAAATTTATTGTATCTAGTCTGAATATTGTTTGGTGTAGAGGTGTCAATTCGGGTGGTTCGGGCTGGGTCGGCTCGCCAACATATGAGCCCAGTAACGGCCTCCGTGAAAAAAGCCCGCTCGCTACGGGTTCTGGTCAGTTCCGAGTCGGTCCACAAATTTTGGACTACAATCCAGACCCGCTCGTTGACCCATCCGGGTCGAGCCCGCGCAGGTCGCTGTTTGTTCTGATTTGACCAGTATTATTGTATAAATAAAATTATAAAAATATAGAATTTTTCATATTTATAGCAAAAAATATTTTTTTTGTTAAATATAAACTAAGAATTGAAAAAAATGAAATATTCATATTCATACCAAGAAATGTTTACATAGAATCCAAATTTAATATTACATGAATTATTTATAACTTTTCAAAGTTNGTCGCGGTTTGTTCCGATTTGACCTGTATTATTGTATAAATAAAATTATAAAAATATATAAATTTTCATATTTATAGCAAAAAAAATATTTTTTTTGTTAAATGTAAACTAAGAATTGAACAAAATGATAAATTCACATTTATGCCAAGAAATGTTTACATAGAATTCAAATTTAATGTTACATGAATTATTTATAACTTTGCAAAGTTAAATTTAACTTAAACAAATAACAACTAAATGCATTTGTAATTGCTATTATCAAATGTTTATAGCATAAATACATCTAACATCCCAACTATGTTGGCACTGACACATACTTTTATTATAATTTGCCACACATCTGATATTTGTTTTTTTCCTT